TATATAGATAGATAGATAGATAGATAGATAGATAGATAGATAGATAGATAGATAGATAGAGACATGGGTTATAATTACAATTACAAACAAACAATTGTTTTCATGTACTTTGTATTTCCTAAGGCTTGCTTTATCATTTTTGCTCCTGCTTGGGCATGGATGCCCATTATTGTGGTTGAAGGTTGTCCAACTGCACTGCATCATGGACAGCCACCTCTTACTTTCCGACCCCTAAATATGGTAATCTGACAACGCAGTACCCCACTTCCCGACTGAGCAGTCTAATACTTTGCAGGTGTATTTGGAAACTTCCACACGTCTTCCTGGAATGAAATGAAAACAAAAGGCAGGATTACACTTCCGTCTTTGGAGAGTTTTATTGAACACGGTGTCTGTCGGCTTTAGTCTTCATCTTCCTCCTCGTCGTCCTGGTTGATCTGGAAGTAGCGCAGCTCGTAGCTCTCCTTGGTGTTGGCCACCACGCGCAGCCAGTCCCGCAGGTTGTTCTTCTTCAGGTACTTCTTGGTCAGATATTTGAGGTACCTGGCAGGCGTACACCCAATATGAGATGGGGGCCGCCAAGATGTGTAATTATTAGGGAAAAACACACACACAAATACATTTTGACTTGCAATAAGCGGTTTGGACAATGGATGGATGGATAATTCATTCCAGAGGCTGGGTTAAGTTGCAGTTTGGTGACGAGGCTTTAAAAAATTAATAATAATAAAATTCAAACGTTGCTGTGTGTCGCCCCCTCGTGGCAGTTGATGGTCACACAGAAGAACATACTGAAAACAGTGTCACGAGAATGGAAACAAGAGCAAACAAAGCTCATTCAACAGTGATTTTCTCTTTGGAAATTGTTTGCAATCTGTCAATTTGCATATACACACACTCGGCAAGGACAGAATACACGAGTCAGCGTTTTGTAAATCAGATGCATGTGCCTGTGCCACTTTCAAAACACTCAACTCGGTCACATGATACCGGCAGAGGAGGGGAAAAAAAAAAGTCTTGTTGACATTTCTTGTTGGTAGAGAAAAACGAGCGTACCTCTTAGAAAAGGGAACTTCAGAGTTGACAGCAATTTTACTTTTGCTCCTCTCGATGGACACCACGCCGCCGCCAAGGCTTCCCGCTTTGCCATTGACTTTGATTCGCTCCTGCAGGAACCGCTCCTATTGAGTGGAGGAGGATAGCAAATGACACGCACGGCATGGTGGCATCCTGCCTGAGGGTCGGATATGAGCGATGAGGTATGATTACTCTAAAAGGTGGTAAAGTTAAGGTGAGTGAAATTATGCCATGCTCAACATGACTGTTTTTGAACAATATCTGCGAACACATAAAATAAGGAAACAAATGTTCATTACAACTGCAAGACGTAATGGCATGATCATCAAGTACTCAAATGCAAGTACTTGTACTCACAATCCGTCCCCAAAAAACAAACAAAGTGGCAACGTTACTTCTTCTTCTTCTCCTTTCGGCACATCCCTATTCAGGGGTCGCCACAGCGAGTCAGTAATTTCCATCCGCCCCTGTAAACCGTCCTACCAACTCGCATGGTCGTCTTGGCAAAAGTTTTACGCCGGATGCCATTCCTGACGCAACCCTCCCCATTTCTCCGGGCTTGGGACCGGCACTGGGGAACAGTGCACCCCCAGGGAGGGCACTGCCCCCCAGCGGCTGGGTTTCAAAGTGGCAACGTTACATCCGATATAAATGTTTTACGTATTTGTAGTAGGTGGCTAATTTTGAGCTGGTCATTGTCAAAGTCAGGGGTAGGGAACTGCGGTTCCTCGAGAGCCATATCCTGCCTGTTTTAGGTCCCTCCCTACTCCAACACACCTGGTTCAAACGATCAGCTCATCAGTAAGCTTTGTCGAGGTCTGAACAATTGAATCGGATGTGTTGGAGTAAGGAAGGACCTAAAACAGGCAGGGTATGGCTCTCGAGGAACTGGAGTTCCCTAACCCTGGTCTAAATAGATCACCATCTTGAAAGTGTTAACCTTAACTTTAACTGTGCAGTTGAAGCAGTTCCTTTGGGAAGTGTTGCAAAAAGTCAAGGTAGAAGCGAACCATTTGATATTGGCTTATGTCATGCGACTATGTAGGACACTCAATGGCCACCCCTGCCTGCAATTGACAGCTGTCGCACATTTCTGATCAACACCAACTCACAAAGTTGGCAGCGTCCATGATACCATCCTCCACAGGGTGCGTGCAGTCTAGCGTGAACTTTAAGACCTGCTTCTTCCTCTTGCCACCGGACTTTTTGACCACCACGTGCTTCTTCTGGCGAGACACAACACACTCCCAGTTACATTCACAACACACAACTGAAGAATCAACGAGACACACACGAATTGATTGGTTATGAATCATCTTTGCTCCACAAAACATGCGACGAGGCTCTCTTGTGTGTGGATGTGGCTAAGCTAACATGAGCAACGACATCTGGGGACAAGCGAAGTCGCCGAGAAGTGTCAAAACTCTCTCGGGGGACATTCGAGACACTCGGGGACATTGTCACACTGTCCCGTGGAAGAAACATATCATCCGTATCGTGTGTGGGCAGTTTAGTTTGGTCGCCGAGGTACTCACAATCGGCGCCATGGTTGACACGTTCAGCGAAAAGGAAGGAGGAGGGGTTACGCAGGACGTATAACACTTGGCCGCGACATCGAGCTCGCATCGATGATTCGGTGCTCGATTAAGTCTTTCAAAATTATTCATGGGTGTTACGCTAATATACCGGGTTTTTTTTTGTTCAATTTATTTGTGATCTTGATTTGAACAGGTCAACAGGAAGGGACGTACAAGGGCCACTGGGACCAAACAACATAAATTCGGTTTTCTTTTAGGTGAAATCTAAGACATTTTGTGACATCCAGACTTTGAATTCCTCTCAACACGACAAACGTGGTCTGAAGGAGAACGCATCCTTTTTGCTCAACGGGACACAGATCTGACTGTCATTAGCGTATGAGTGGAAGAAAATACCATGTAAAAATACAGTGAAAAGAGCAGGGACCACAAAATAGAACCCTGTGGAGCACCATGCGACAACGGGCCAGAGTGGGACTCAGAGCAAGCAATGCTAACACAAAAAGTCCATCCATCCATCCATATTCTCATCCGCTTATCCTCACGATGGTTACGCACGTACTGGAGCCTCTCCCAGCTGTCTTCGGGCAGTAGGCGGGGGACACCCTGAACTGGTTGCCAGCCTTTGCTTGGGCCCAAGATGACACCAATGTAACAAGACGTCGCTTTAAGCAAATAGGTGCATTTTTCAGTGAATCAGAGGATCGGTTCCCCCATAAAATCTAGGGACAGGCAAATTAACAAATGTTTAATCTTGAATACGCAGTGGCTCACTGTTGATTTTGTTTTCTACCATTAGAAATTGTGTTGACCGATTGGAGATTTCACCGTGTCTTGCTCTTGAGATATCATTTCTACGCCTTCATCAGCACCCCGGGCGCACTTGGGGTGAGTCCTAGTTATCGCTTGGACAACTGCACGTCCCTGTTGCACTTTTGTGGGAGGGGAGGTGAGCGAGGGGTGGTGGTGGTGGCACGAGGTGTGTGCCGTCAGCTGCCTGGCAGAGGCGACCCGAGGGCCTACTATTGAAGCATAGTTGGCATTCCTGCTGGGGGCAGGCCGATAGCGCCGCTGAAAGGTAAGACAACGCTCACTGGACACTCTGACTTTGTCGAGTCAAAGCTAGTTTCTTTTGTACTGTTTGTGGATTTACTCACACTGCGAGCGCCGATCAGATGTCAAGGTAAGAGCGCAGCTCCTGTAGTTTATTTTAATCCCTGTGGGAGTCATTTGATTCCCGTTACAGGCTAGCAACAAGCGAGCTGTGACTGTACGAAACATGTTTGAGTGTCTTCCCTTGTGTGTCAGTGACATGACTATTAAAGGGGACATCCATCCATTTTCTTTCATGTTTTAACCTCATTTGGGTCACTGGTGAGCTAAAGCCTATCCCAATAGTCATTTATTTGCAGGGCACATACAGTACAGTAGTCCACTGCATATTCAATGTTCTGAGTGATGATACACCCTGACACATAACCAGAGTCCAATGGCTAATGGGGTTTTTTTTTTGTTACCATGACAACCAGTGGCTGGGCGAGAGCTTTGCGACTTAGTGACCAGCTCCTAATTATGTGAACAAAGCCCAGAATGCGGAGAGAGAGAACGAGCATTTTCACTCACGGAGGCAGCACTTTATACACTACACCGCATTTCATTTTCTACGCTGCTTATCGCATTTAAGGTGGTAGGTAGATCTGTTTCTTTTTTTTTTTCTTTTGTCTTCGTATGTATTTAAATGTCCTGAGCTCCCACTCAATAAGCTGTAAGTAGCTTCTATGTGGGGTCGCTTTCACATGTGATTGCATGGTGAACTTCAGGCTGCCTTCATGGTGGTAAATGTGCAACTGGAATATTTGACGTGAATACTGTCTATTGAAATTGAATGGCAGACTACACCCTGGACTGGCTGCTCGTCAACTACAGGCAACATTACATTTCATACACTTTTACAGTGACTCACATCCACTGTGCCATGGCATGGCACATTATTGTGGCCTAAGAGATCATCAGTTGTGCTGCGTTAAATTATCCAATTTCGCTTAATTGGTGTGAACCGTTTTAATATCTGCATGTGTCGCCATCTCACCGCAGCTCTGCTTACCCATTGGCTTTGACGTGAGTGTTTCATACATTGCAATTCAGCCGTGGACTGAAAGTGGCTGTGGATGTTCACCCAGGCCAGCATCTAAGTCTTGGATGGAGAAACTTGATGTGGGGACGGTTCATATGTAAATTAGCCGAATTGTGACATCATCTTATGGCAAAATTCCAAAGGGCTGACTCCAAGAGTATTCGGAAATATTGACTTGGTTAATTAATCTTACCCTTGATGTGAGAGTGGGCTCCAGAGAGACAACTACTTGCATAAAACAATTTAAAAATATATTTGACATGAAACGCACCCTTGAAGGGAGATGAAAAACTCCCCGACTCATGACGAGTCCTGTTTGCAGATGGCCGGAGGAATCCTCAGCAATTTGGACAACCTGTGCAACGTGGACTGCGCCAACGTGCACCCCCTGGTGTGCCACCTGTGCCACGAGCAGTATCAGTCGCCGTGTCTGCTGGACTGCTATCACATCTTCTGCGCCCGCTGCTTGCTGGGCCGGACCAACGACAGCCGACTCAGCTGCCCCCTCTGCGGGTAAGAGATGGAAGAACAACTGGGCGATTTAAAACAACGATATCGGTTCAAAACAATGAAATAAAGGATTTGTTACACAAGTTGATTTTGCCTCTGGGCTGCTGGGACCAGTCAAGTTCGCCGTGTAGTATCTCAAGCTTTCACGTATATGTAGGAATGAAAAAGCAAAGTGTGGAGAGGCTCTGTACCAAAATGCATGGAAAATTTCACAACAAAAATTACCTTTTTGGGTACCTGTACCGTGTTTTGCGAAAGTACTTGACTACTGTGTAGTATTTATAATTTCATAACTGAAGATTAAGAAGCAAAGCCCGGAACATTTTGAAATAGACAATTATTCTGAGGACATTGTTGGCCTGGGTCAAAACTGACTATTGTACAGCATGTGCGCATGCAAAATCAACAGTAACTTGGGAGCGTTCCACCTTTAAGTCTCACAAATGAAGTGCTAACAGCCCGGGGAGAAAGGTCAAGGGCTGATTGTGAACTTACAGCGTTTGTACTGGTGAAGGCATTTGACAACAAATGATGCAATCTGAGCCAAGCGTGAAACCGCCTTCCCCTCTTCGTCTCGGTTCCACACACTTGGACAATTGGGGGAGAATCCCGCGTCTTTTGGCAAGCGTCGGCTCCGTGTTTTGATTTTCCACTCGCCCGCTTGGCTCAGCCGGGCCTGAGTGGCCGAAACAGCTGCCGGGCTCGATGCGTCTTGCCAGTCTCAGATTTAGCCCTGCCGGTCATCCAGCAAACAAAGCGTAGTGGCATTTGGCGACATAGTCAGCAGCAGCTTCCAGCAAATCAAACGCGGCCACATGACGGCAATCCAATTCTTTCCCACCAAGGAGCGCCACCTGCTTTACGATGACCTTCAGGCTGGTGGCGCTAATTTTAATGCCACATGTGGGGTCACGCTGTGTGAGCCAGTCTTGAGCATGACAATGTACTCTCAGTCAAAGTATTGGTTGACATTATTCACATTACATTTGATTAGAATGGCTCTCACAAAACACTTGGTGACCTACACTTGAGATCCAAGCTAATAATGCATACGTTTGATTTGACGTGAGAGTTTTGCCATGCAAGAGGGTCAAAATATTAGAAACAGATGTTTTTACGATACGTCCCAGAATGTGCAATTGCAAAACCGCACTAAGCACGTTGTGATGCCAAAATACTGCTTGGCATTGTTTTAAGTTCCCCAAAGGTCGGTTTTATGTTTGCCCCCCTCTACCCCCCCCACCTCCCAAAATAAAGTTTTGAGGGACTACCAGCATAAAAACATCCTTTTTGTCCTCTGCCTTTCAAATATATATAATAGGTAGCACAGTTGTGAGTGACATTCAAAGGCATATTCCGGTTTGAGACAACTTTATTTCGAAATCTCTTTTGAACTTCTGTGTCAACATATTTTCCTTTCAACATATGATAACACTCGTTTTAACGTGAAATATTGCCTCACATAAAAAAATTGACGGTCCCCAAAAATCACCAGTCCGGCATTGTCCAAATAAAATATCGAACAATAGTGTGAGCAATAATTGCGTTGTTGAAAAAAAAACAAAAAAATAAGCCCAGTTCCGTTTTTAATTCTAACTACTGCTCTGATAAATTATGCTGACAAATTTAAAACGAGACAAACTCCCGGAGCGCCCTCTTGTGAAATGTCACTTTACCACAACTAAAAGTCCCAAGTATTTCTTCCGATCCACTCAATTATGGTTATGGAGTATTTAATCAGTATCCCGCTAATGCATTGAATTTTCCATGCACTCGTACGCTCTTTTAAGTGCACAAGTAGGAAAAAAGCTCCGTTGCAAATGGGGCAAAATTGTGCACTAGTTGACCTCTGCAAGTGAAGTCGTAATAGTTGCAAGTGGGTGTCAAATAGTGGCGTTGTTTTGTCTCACTCGTAACTATGTAGTGTATCCTTGTTGTCCAACTTGCACGCTCAATTATCTTACTAGTCAAGGTAACGAGCGTACGAGTACATAAGCAGTTAAGCGTACGAGTAAAATATCGACTAAATGCTCAAACAGGTTTCCATGCTTCCATATAACTTAAGTTGTCATGATTAAAATGTTGTCAAGAAGCGCTCAACTCAAGGACGGGAGGTGATAAAATGAGAATGTGAAAAAGGAGGTAAATCTTAATTTGAGTTTCTTGGGGAGGGACTTCTGCTTTTCTTTATTTGTCCTCCTGGTAGCCTTCCGTCTTCATGTCGTTCAGGCCGAGCTCTTCGTTCTGCTCAAACGTGCGCTCGTACGTCTCCATCGTCATCTCCGGGTCGGATTCGGGCGCGTACACGTTCTCCAGGTAGCTGTTCCCGGCCGGGTCGTCCAGGACCAGGTGGGCTTTCATCTGCCCGGCGATGATGCTGTCAATCTTCTCGCTAAACTCCTTCAGCTTCTGCACGCGGGTCGTGTCGCCACTGTCGCCACACACGAAGGGGTTCTTGGCCACCACTAGGTCCTTGACATCCGTCAGAAGGCCCTCCACGGTGGTGAACTTGCCGCATAGCGCCGCCATGCCCAGCTCGAAGTCCAGCTCGGGGATGAAGACGGAGCAGGTCTCCGACTTGAGCAGGTCCCGTGTCATGTCGGATGCGGCGGTGATGCGCAGGGTGATCTTGGTGCCCTTCTCCTCGGTGGCGCCGCCCGACTTGACCTCGTTGGTGCGGTGGCCGCAGGCGTCGCAGTTGGTGGCCATGATGATGGCCTCCTTGAAGTGAGGGATCTGCACCAGCTTCATGTTGGTGGAGGCCGGCGCGTTGCACTCGGGGCAGTTGGTGTTGAAGACCAGCACCTCGCTCCGCATAGTGTCCATGTCGTCGCCGGGTAGCGGTTCGTCGTCCGGCTCGTCGTCGGCCCGCAAACCCAGCAGCTTCTCCTGCTGCACGCTGCGCCGGAACCACGACACAGTCAGGGCCTCGTCCTTCAGCGGGGCGGACGGGTTCTCCACAAAACTGTTGCCCGACGGATCTTCGATCACCACAGTGAAGGCCTCCTCCACGTCTTTTAACTTCTTCAGCTTTTGGAGGAACGCGTGGATTTTGCCGGCCACCTCGGGGTCAGCCTCTTGCCTGGCCGCTTGGTCTTGTTCCAGTCCGGCCACGGCTCGGTCAAGGAGGCCCTCCACGGTCGATAAGGCGCCTTTCTGTGTAAACGGGGGGATCTCAAACTCCAGCTCCGGTATCCTGGTAGTGGCACTGTCCATTTTGACCACCTCGCGGTTCAAATCGTGTTTACTCGTGACTTTGAGAGTGTAGCAGACGCCCTGTTCCTGAATGCGCCCCGCGGACTGTATCTCCGTGTTGGACCAGCTGCACTCATCGCAACTGAACGAGCTGACGATGATTTCTTTGAAGAAGGGGACTTTAGTGAGGAGCAAACGTGTCCTACCGTTCTGATAGCAGTTCATGCACAAGCTCTCGATCTCGGTAGGCTGCCAGTCTTCATCGTCGGCGCTAAGGTCTTTAAAGACGCTCCCCCCTCGAACGTGTTCTTGGGCAATGACAGACATGGCTCAAATGGTTGAAATGTCGTTCGGCGGTACCCCGGTAGAAGTTTCTAGACAGCACAGGGGCAGCACATGCTAGCTATGACGTCTTCACTGCTTCTTCCGCATTTTCTTCTTCGGTGTCGGCCGAGGTGTAAAGCCTCTACTTCCTCCTACTGATTTTCTCGAGTACTGCAACTGATTGATGGCGTCCTGACCCTTTGTGATTATTGATGCAATATTTCTGAATTTACGTGGATTTTTTTTCGTGTGACATTTTCACCATAATCTTCCATTTTTCGATTTGGAGTTTTTTTTTAACTGTAAAGTGCTTTGTCTTGCACACGTTGTCTGATAACGTGCTAAACAAACAAGTTGAATTGAGAGTTTCACAATGTTTCATTATGAAGACAAAATAAATACTTTTCTGACATATGTGATTAGTAATGAAAAGTCTGTTTTACTGTATGTGCATACATGTGTACTATGTATTTTAATTTTTGTGTGGAAAATTGTATATTTAAATTAGAATATATTGACACTTTTTTTATTCATTCATTTGTCTGTTTATTTTGTTGACTATTTATTATGTTTTATTGTTGTTCACCTTTTTCAGATGTGGTTTTTGGTTTTAAGTGCTTTATAAATTTAAGGTTGAAATGAGTTGAGTTTGGCACTCAACACAACTCAACTTTAATCTTTAAAGGAATTGGATGGATGGATTTATTACTTGTCCACAGTCGATATTTTCTTGCGTCTTACAGATACCCGTCCGTCATAAAGGGGAACAATGGCCTCCCCCCAGAGGACCGCCTGCTTAAGTTCCTGGTGGACAACAACGCAGACGCCGAGGAGATTGTGCAGTGCGCCAACTGTGACCAGGAGAGCAACAAAAAGGTTCAAATTGACAACATCGCAACAACAACAAAGTTATTTTATTTTCTTTTGTGACAAATTCTGATTAATCCATTTTTGCCTTGTGTTCTTTCTTTCAACCGTTTCTTTGTGTTCAGGACACAGGTGTGATGTTCTACTGCAACACTTGTAACCAGCCTCTCTGCTGCGCCTGCAGGGAGCTCACACACAAGGCCAGAATGTTCGCCCACCACGACATCGTCTCACTATCTAAGCGCAGCAAAGCCAAGCACAGGAAGTGTGGTGAGAGATGCTTTGTAAATCTCGCACATCTTCTTGAGTCTGACAGGGGTCGAAGGTTAGGGTCTGCAAGGCCTTTTCTACTAGCCTAAAGACTACCAGAAGCACTGATATACATTCTCAACTTAAATCACATTCATTGCATAAAATTGCATTCGTTTATACCCAACAGTCTTTTTCTACGGTGTTCAAAGTTGTGTCTGCGAGCAATTTGTTATTTTTACTGGCCCGCAATCTAATCTGTGTCTTCTGAATCAGTATTGCAATGAGAGTGTTTTATTAGCCAATCAGATTTTTTAATTCATCCTCACAAGGTCACAACAATCATTCACAACAGAATTATCCTGTCCTCTGACTAGCCAGTCAGAGCACAACTTATTACTTGTTACACCTTGTGACAGCCAAAACTGAAATTTTCACTTCATGCTGAAGGACTCTGGAACGTAACCCACATGATGGAGGGAGAATTACTTTACCTCAAAAGTCATTTGGAACCTTTGAGTAAAACTCAGTGAGTATGTGTGTGTCGTCAGTTTTGCACGAGGAGCCCTACATCCTCTTCTCCACCGAGAACAAGTCCATGCTTTGCATCAAGTGCTTCAGGGATATGCAAGTGTGAGTTAACGTGCCACACAAAACCTATTTGACTGCGCAACAGTGTCCTCCTTGTGACATCACCTTCCCTGTGTGTGTGTGTGTGTGTGTGTGTGTGTGTGTGTGTGTGTGTGTGTGTGTGTGTGTGTGTGTGTGTGTGTGTGTGTGTGTGTGTGTG